TCTCTCTTCCCTCCATCATAGATATTTACACCACATGCTGCATCCACAAAGCCACCAGCATTGTGGATAACCCCACACACCCCTCACACACACATTTCACCCTCCTGGCATCTGGAAAAAGGTACTGAAGCATTCGGGCCCTCACGGCCAGACTGTGTAACAGCTTCTTCCCCAAAGCCATCAGACTCCTCAATACTCAGAGACTGGACTGACACACACACACACACACACACACAACACACACACACACTCTGAACGTTTACACGTGCACGTTATATAAAAATCTTATTTAGTTCTGTGTCGTCTCATGTGGTAGATGGAGGAACGTTGTTTTGTTTCACTGTGCACTGTACCAGCTGTATGTGTTTGAAATGACAATGAAGCCACTTGAACTTGAAAGATTAACTCTGATTGGATGGAGGGTTCTGATTATATACAGTCACCTCTGAAACTATCGGAACAGCCAGACCAGTTAAATTGTTTTTGCTGTAGACTGAAGACATTTGGGTTTGAGATCAAAAGATAAATATGAGACGAGTGTTTGGGAATTTCAGCTTCTATTTTCTGGAATTTATATATAGATGTGTTAAATGATATAGAATATAGTGTATTTTATAACTAGGGTTGTCACGGTACCAAAATTTCAGTAGTTGGTACCAATACCAGTAAAATTCCACGGTACTCAGTACCAATTTTGGTACAGCACTATTTTATTAATAAATTTAAATATCAATATAAAATGTTTTTGTTTTTTTAAATGCCATTCTGTATACTTCATGTATATCATTACTATTAAAGCTACGAGAGTTATCCAGACACGAGTAGAAATGTTTTCTTTACTGACTGATATTAAAGACATAAACAATGTTACACATTAATTTCAGATATATAGCTAATCAAAAAGCCTCTGGTGTGTAAAATTAGTATACCCCATCATGTCTTCCCATTTATGTTACCCCAATAAAAGTTAAAGCATTAAATGGTTAATAAGGACTCCTGACTGTATTAGCGTTAAACGCGCGTATGCTAACCATTAAGTAAACAAAAACGAGGATGTTTTCTTGCAATAATAAAAACACTCCAATTAAACTACACAACGACATTCATAATGCAGAGCGTCATTTTCCATCATTTTAAACTCATCTGCTTGAACTGCTTTAACAAATACTGCGGGTAAGCAGCCGCTCTTCATGAAAGCCTGGTTAATCTAGCGGTATATTTCTAGCATATATTTCGCCTACTATATAGTAGATATGTATGCAGTTTTGGACGTAGCCATTGGCTCCAGTGTCTTCTTATAGCAGGGTGCACCCATGAAAAGTTCCTGAACCGTTACACCCAGTATTTATGAAAATCTGGTATTGTCAACTTTTTTATTTTTAGTACCTACTTGATACCAAATTACCAGTGCTTTTAACAACCTTATTTGTAACAGACCACCCAATTTGTTGGATAGTACAAATACTGGAACATGTGACTGATAGGTGTTTCTTTTTACCCAGGTAGAAAAGAAAAAAATATATACATGGCAACATTACATTGCCAACAAATAATTACATATGAACACTTCCTGCACACCACTTCAGAAAATGATCATCAGTGCCTTTAATGTTTTTTCTTAGCTGGGTATGGACAGGATTTCCCTCTCCTATTGAGCCAATATAGACTATAAATATAGTCATATTATCTATTGCAGTGAAATACCTTAACTATGGATGATATACACAAATCAAATATGAGTGGAAGTGAAAGATACAAACTACTAAGCAAAAAGAATAGTTCATTTCTTCATAAAATGTTATGCTTATATTTCAGTAAATAGAATAGCTGAAATATGATGTTAAAGCAGAAATGTAAACATCATCAGAATTTAGAAGATATACAGACAGTGTGTTTGCTCTTTGACTTTGAATACAAACTTCTTTACTTTTACTTTAGTATTTTGCGAGTCGGCTCCTGACGCAAGTGTCTGACAGTCTCAACGTGTCGACGGCGCTCACACTCTTTTGAACTGGCAAAGGATCTACCCCGAAATGACTCTGATCGGCAGAACAAGGCCCAGTTTATTTTTAGAATACATTACAATCACTCCAAAATAGATGATGAGAGCTCACATCCCTGCATCACGAGCTACACTTTCTTTGCGTGTCTGTTTAGTCTTCCACTCAGCAGCCCCCGAAGGATGTGATCGTTTCTGTGCCATTATAAGTCACTGACTTAAAGTCAGTCAGCTGCAGAAAAGTTGCATTTTTTCTTTGTCCATTGTCTCTTCATACATTCAGAGGGTAGGACCCACTTTGAAACGGTGACATTAATTGGTGTCACTACAGATGAGTGACAATTCATCTATATCCAATGGACGAAGAGTCTAATGTTTTGCTGCCCATCTTAATTGGTGGACTAGTGTATAGTGATGTGACGGTTATGGACGCATGGTTTCCCTGAGCTGTGGAGGTTTCCTCCTGGTACTCCATTTTTTTCCTCCAGTCCAAAGACATGTGTGGTAGGCTGATTGGCATGTCCAAGGTGTCCGTAATGTATGAATGGGTGTGTGAGTGTGCCCTCTGATGGATTGGCACCCCGTGCAGGGTGTACCCTGCCTTGTGCCCCATGCCCACAGGCTCCAAGTTACCTGCAACCCTGTAAGATAAGTGCTATAGAAAATGGATGAATGGATGGATGTTGTTTGCCAATTTACAGAGAAATGCATCCAAATTAATTGGGAGGAACTTTATCATGCAGCAAGGCAATGATCCAAAACACACTGCCAACTCAGCTTTATCACGAAAGAAGAAACAAACAATTTGGTGAAGTGAATGAGTCACACAGTTGATGCAATTATTGCAAGCAAGCGATATGCAACCAAATATTAAGTGTAATTTACTGAATCTGTTTCACAAAAGGTTCTGTGTTTTATGTTGGTTAACACATCTAGATGTAAATACCACGGAATCCCAAACTCTCATCTCATATCCATCTTTTGATCTCGACAAGCGAGCAGAGCTGGATGGACTGGAAACTGTGTTGTTCATTGAGATGGGTCATTCATGACATTCGGTAAGATAAAGCTAAGCAAGGCATTAACAATTAGCATAGATAAGAAAAATAGGATGTAAACAACTTCTGTTTGACTACATTAAACAATTCCAGAAGTTATACATATTATCAAGGAACAAGTTCAGTGCATTACCTACGATCAATATGCAAACAGGTACAGTATCTAGAAGATATCAACAAGCCGCAAGGTCACAGAGCAAAACAAGGAAATGCTAAAACGAAGCAAGAAGATAGCAGAATGCAGGCACATGGCAAATTATTTATTAACAATTCGGGATGTAAGTAGTTCCCAAATTTCTAAATCTTGGCTTTTGTATGAGGGCAAATACTGTATGTAAAGATGTGCTGTGCTAAGAAATTCTTTTTTGTTTTTTGGGAACTAAAATAAAACCAATTATTAACCAGTTTATTAAGATAATTCTCCACTAATTATTAGAATAGTTTAAAATGATATGTTCATGGAGACTTTAAGGCCATGAGTAAGATGGAGAGAGTGACCAGATATCACAATAGCTGGCCATTATAATACAAAAGCAATATGGACATTTGTAAGGTTTTACCTCTTTACACTCTTTGACAACTCACTTTAGTTTGAACCATTTTGAACCTGAAGCATTCTACCTGAATTCTTTATTTATTTAGAGTGTATGTGTATGTGTGTGTGTGTGTGTGTGTGTGTGTGTGTGTTGTGTGTATATATATATATATATATATATATATATATATATATATATATATATATATATATATATTTATTTATTTATTTATTTATAAATATAAATAGATAGATAGATAAATAAATAAATAAATAGGTGTTAATGATTCTACATAACCTTCTTGGGGGGCCATGGCAGGGGGGGGTTAACATGTTTGCCTCGCACCTCCAGGGTTGGGAGTTTGATTCCCACCTCAACCTTGTGTAAATGTGCACTTAAATAGCACTTTTATCCAAAGCGCTTTAGCGCTGTGTCTCATTCACCCATTCAGGCACACACCAATGTCTAGCAGAGCAGTGTCTTGACCAAGGACACTTTGGCATCACCCGGGCCGGGAATCGAACCGCCAACCCTAAGATTAGTGGACAACCCGCTTTACCAACTGCGCCCCATGTGTGTGTGGAGTTTGCATGTTCTCCCTGTGCTTCCTGGAGGTTTCCTCCAGGTACTCCGGTTTTCTCCCCCAGTCCAAAGACATGCGTTGTTGGCTAAATTGTCTGTTTTGAGTGATTGTGCCCTGTGATTGGTTGGCACCCCATCCAGGATGTCCCTGCTTTGCGCCCTGAGTCCCCTGGGATAGGCTCCAGGCTTCCTGCGACCTGGTGTAGTATAAATGGTACAGAAAATAAACAGAAGGATAACTTTCTTGGTAGGATTCCATTCCACTCTTTCATTTTCCAAGAGTGCAGAATTCTCATTGCAGAAATTTCTCAAAAACTTTGCAGCATTGATTACACGCAACACATGCTTTATGGACGATAATGATTATTTGCAATACAACACTGTCTGTAAGTGATAGCCTTACATCTGGTCTGTCTCAGATGACTTGTCTGTTAGCAAATGGAAGTAAGAGGTTATATTGGGTACGGATCAAAACATTTTAGTGTGCAGTAGACAGGCTGCAAGATTAGATGTTGATTTGTCTCAGGCAGTGGGGAGATTGCTACAATTCTGCCAAAAAGCTGAATCGTAGCAATCAACAGCTGTATGTTTACACTCGTCAGATTACCTCCTCGTTATTAAACATTAAAAATTCGGCCTTCAAATAACACTACAACGAAATCCATCCATCTTCCCTACTGCTTATCCTACACAGGGTCAGAGGGAACTTGGAGCCTATTTCACGGACACCCTGGACAGTGTGCCAACCCATCGCAGGGCACAACAGCACACACTCCAGACAATTCTGCATGTCTCTGGACTGGGAGAACATGCAAACTCCGTGCATGCGCAGAGGCGGGAATCAAACCCCCATCCCTGGAGGTACAAGGCAAACATGCTAACCACTACTCCACCATGCC